CACTTAGCATCACCAAGCACCTCAAAGCATTGGATGGCACTAGTTAATTAGGCATTATTATTTGTGTGAGAAACATCACAATACATATATTAATATCCCTACAGCGTTACTTCTTTTTATATATTATCCAATATTAATTGGTTCCAAAGTTGCACTAGCAGAGTTCTCCAAAATGCCGCATATAGACACACGAAGGATAGGCCGTCAGGTTTCTAGTGACCACTCACAATTTTTTTTAAAAAAAATACATTTTTTTTGCAGAAAATGACCCACAAATTTTTAGTGGCATAAATCTATATTCACAATTTGTTCGATAGATTCTCCGGGAATGAGCCGTGCAAGCCTAAACATGCAGTATTTTATTTTTCCTGTGTGCTCTGCGTCTGATGATTAATTAAGCGAGTTGGCTGGTCAGCCATTTATTGTTGAAACGTTAGATCTGGACCGACGTTGATCATCGGATCATTACACCTACCATACCTCGTGAACTTGTTAAGGAACCTGACTTTGTCTATGATTAACGAGATAAGCTCACATATTCGTCCTACTGGTTGGTTTTGTTTTATTTTTGTCTGTTAACTAAAAAGAAGTGTTCATTATTGGTCCTTCAAATCTCGAAACTATTCACATTTCATCCATAGCAAGGTGGTTTTTGTGATGTGGCGTCTATACGAAGTCTATTTATTAAATTAAGAGTGACGAGACCAGTTAATCAATATAATCAAAATAACAAAACAAAGAAAATATTAAAACTCATACTGTTGAATTCTACCAGTACAGATCTTTCTCATACTGCCTAAGTAAGAGAGGCTAGGAGGCTGATAAAGGGGGACAGGGAAATTACTGTCAAAAAGATCCATCGCAGTCAGAACCGAGTTAGTCATACACTAGCAAATAAAGCTCGGACTAACCATATCTCCGAAGTTTGGTTGGATGGGGGATGTACTTTTATTTCACAGTATGTCGTGAGGATGCTATGATTGAGTAATATATTTTCCCTTTCCCCGTAAAAGAAAAAGAAAATATTAAAACTCAATATATATTTTAAAATGGCTAAAAACGAGGAATGGTTGAAGACTTGAAGGGTAGGAGAGATTACTATTGGTTCGATGGCTAAATACAAGAAGAAAAAATAAAGTAATATTAAAAAGGTATAGTGGACCACTCTAAAACTAAATATGTAGGCTAAAATTGCACTTATTTAAAAGATGGATGAAATAATTAATTAGCTCTACCTCGGACCATATGAGAAAGCAAATACTTAAGCCCCATCGTTTGCTCATATTCCCTAATGAATTTATAGGTAAAATTTATATATATATATATATATATATGTTCTTGCTGATTTAAAAGTCAATACTAAAATCAATCTTAAAATTATGTTTGAAAATTCATATTTTAGCTTTCTCTTTAGCTGATTAGGACATCAAATGTGGGCCTAAGTTGTTACTATCTCCCTTTTAAATAGGGTCAATTTGGCTAGTACCATCACAAAAATCACGGAGTTAAAAAATACCATCGTATATATCATTGACATATGGGTCCAGGCCCCACATGCCATTCTCACGTATTTTTGCGATAGTATTTCCCAAATTTTTCCTTTTAAATATACGTTGTATTGACTTTTAGTACAAAGTTTGAATATTTATCTTATTAAAAAATATATAATATCCTTTATTTTAGTATAACTTATTTTATCATTAAATTTCCTTTAGTTTAATTAAGAACAACATACACTAAACTAAATTCTTAATAAGATAAATGATCATACATAATATCTAAAAATAAACAAAGTCATAAAAAAACGGAGGAAGTATTTGCTATTAAGAAAAGCACGTTTGCATTTGAGTTCAGGCTAGAAGATACTCTCATCTGGCCCTCTCAGGTATTTTAATTCGTCATATGCTAATTGAACTGCTGGTCTTTTCGATCGATCTGCCTAATCTCCGCGAGCTTTCCCGAATTGATCTTCAGTGCAGGTCAGCAGATAGATAAGTACGTAAACATTCGGACTCCATACGCATGCAAGTTTTCACTGCTTAATTAGTTTTGCTTTAAGGCCAAGCAAATTGCTCATCTGCAAGTCATTTTCAAACCAAGACCAATCCATGATCATTTTTCTCGCACCGTCCTCTTGATTGTAACTTCTGCCTTTCCTTTTTGTCATCTTACCCGCGCTAGCTCTCATCACTTTTTTCAACTTATAGGTTGATGATCAAATTGATGACAGTTAGCATATAAAGCAAACACATCATTAAGGCGTACGTCGCTATATCTCTTGGATCGTTCCTTCTCCTGCGCCAACCAACCAACCAAAACAAAACAGTGAAGAAATCCCCAGTTTTCTTTTACCCGCATAAATACATGTGAAAGCTTAAATAATTAGCATAAAACGATCAGGGCATGCATAGCATTTAGCAACGCAGGTGAGAGTGGCGGAGCCAGGAATTTAAACTTGTAGGGTTAATTACTAGTGGTTTGTATTTAAGTGGGGTCATTTCTCTTTATCGTTTTGAATTTATACATGAAAATTGAGATTTATATGACATTTTTCAAAAAGCTATGGGGTCGGCCGACCCCACATAAATAGCCTAAATCCGCCACTGGCGGGTGATATTGTATCATTGTATTGTCTCATCAAACTTCAACTATATAGGTAAATATTACACTCTCACTTAGATCATATATATCGAGCCGAAAAAACTACCACCAAAATTAACACAAGCTAATTAATTTAATTTTACTTAATTTATCGCTCGACGGTGACGGAGACGACACTGCCGCCACTGGCGGTGGCGGCGGCACCGGGACCGGAGATGACGGAGGGCATCTCGACGTCCTTGGCGGCCTTGGTCTTCTTGGGTGTGGTCCGGTAGTAGCAGGCGTAGAGGATGAGCTGGATGGCACCGAAGATGGCACCGAGGCCGTTGGGGATGGTCACATAGATGTCGAAGCGGATGAGCGCGTAGGCCGTCCAGCAAACGCCGTTGAGGAAGCACACCAGCGACAGGAAGAACGGCATGTACTCTACGCTCTTCGTCTTTATCACTTTCCCCTGCAGTGAGTGAATAATCTCGTTGATTAAAATCTCATTAATTAATTATATAATGATCCTAGAAATTTAAGTATTGTAACATTGTTATAACAAAGAAAATAAGTAATTGATGAAGGTTACCATAGATTAGAAGCAGGTGTGGCCAATTCTGGGCCTGCAGCACAAAGCTGCAAGCGATGCCATGGGACACGATGAAACAACTGGCACGTATTACGGTACCATTGAGGACATATGGGAACTTGACTACGGTCCTCTCAAGGTCCCTCTGTTCTGGTGCCAATGGGTTAGGTTGACTGGTGGAGGCGTAATGATTGATGACAGTGGGATGACAACGGTTGGCCTTAACAACTACCATATACTAGCAGTCTAGCATAGTGGCTGGACAGTATAAAAGCTCCACCCTTCTTTTTCTTTTTCTTTTTTTCGTTCCAACGTGACAATTACCTGATCACAGGGGAAGGTCGCTCGCAGAAAAAAAGCACAGGCTCGGAAAGTGGACACATGTTGGTAGCAAATTAATTAACGACGATTTGTAATCTGTCACCAGAAGTAGCACGTATGCCTTGCTGAAACCGAACCCCTTAATTACCTGGTACGATATACTCCCTCCGTTTCTAAATGTTTGATACTGTTAACTTTTTAGCACATGTTTAACCGTTCGTCTTATTAAAAAAAATTCATGAAATATGTAAAACTATATGTATACATGAAAGTGTATTTAACAATGAATCAAATGATATGAAAAGAATTAATAATTACTTCTTTTTTTAATAAGACGAATGATCAAACATGTTTAAAAAAATTAATGGTGTCAAATATTTAGAAACGGATGGAGTATATACATAGCTGTGAACGAAATCTCATTCAGAGACATACGCGTTGATCAGCTGATCACACGTTTCTGATGGAAGGCAACATGAGAACTAATCAGCTGATCAACACGTTTCTTATGGAGTATATACCTTTCAGTTTTCCCCAGATCAACGTACTACCCGTCTCTCTCAGGAGAGAACAGCACACGGGTTTTGGCTTTGGCGACAGCTAATTAACACACTAATCAACGGCTTAACTAACTGCATGGCTAATCGGATGTAACTAATGCTACACTAGAGCACAGCAGCTAGCACAGGATCGATGATATGCAAGCACAAATCGAGATTAATTATACTGTTACCCGGAAGGGTGCATCGATCAGATCACAGATCAAACGACGAGATTAATTAACAGATCGAGATGATTATGCCTGCTACTAGTTTGATTGGATCGTGATGAGAAAATGATCATGCGGACGCGTACGTACCATGATGGTGAGCGGGGAGAAGTACATGATGGAGCCGAAGAAGACGCAGAGGATGCCGACGATCATGGAACGCTTCTTGTGCGTGTGCGCGCTCAGAAGCACGCCCAGAATCACCGCCAGCATGAACACCAACTCCACGCCCAGCACAGCCAACATCCTCAGCTGCAACAATGAATTAATGTCAAGATTATATTTCAGATAGATTCAAATTTCGAAATTAAATCGAGGAAATATGGATATATAGATATATCAAGAGGGAGGGAAAAGCGTATATACGCGCTTCTTGTTGGGGGAGTAGAGGAAGAAGATGAAGAGGTAGGTGCCCTCGACAATGAGACCGATGCCGTTGATGGTGACGACGAGGATGCTGTTCGGGTGGACGATGGGGATACCGTAGAACACCCATAGCATGCAGTTGAGCAGCGTCGCCAGGTACGGGTCCGCCTTGAACTGCTCCACGTCCTTCCTCTTGCAGATCCTCCAGAACGTCGGCCTGCACACACACACAAACAAGATCAAGATTTGTTAATTCTTCAGTTCTCACATCTCACCAAAAACCCTCATCAAATTAATTAAACAGCTAGCAGCAACCGGGTTTAGAGAGCTTAGTTACACGGGGGAGAGGAAGAGGCCGAAGGAGATGACATTGCCGATGATGCCGACGACGTTGCGAGCCGCGTCCGGGGAGATCATCTTTGCTAGCTAGATGGCAGGAAAGGAAGGGATCGGAGGAGATGGGATTTTTGGTTGGGAACTTTGCGAGTCACAACGAGCGGCACCGCTTATATAGACGCGCGAACAACGAACACAGTGAAATTCTCGGTGAAAAAAAAAGTGAATATCTAATTTAGTCCCTCAAGTTTTACTGAAGGCTCAATTTGATACTTTAGGTTTCATTTTATCCACATAGATCCTCTAAGTATTTGTTTTGGGTTAAAATCATCCTTGGACCCACTTAATTTGCCATATGGCTATTTTTAAGTCAACAACTCTATTAAAAAATATCCCTTTTGCTCTTAATTTGTATAAAACTATACACTAGAAAAAAGAAAACAAAAATAAATAAACAACATTACATATGTACTTCCCATTATTTTAACATATGCACATGAAACTTGAGCCTAATGGCTATCGTATACACTTGTAAGGACATAATTTATTTTTGTTTTACATAAATTGCTATGCATTGTCTATAAAAAGAATTCATTGCATGCAATTATTTTCTCTTATATATGTGAATGAGGGGGTATAAGTGTCATTTATCAAGAGAGTTGTTGGTTATGTGGGTTCAAGGATAAGTTTGAATTAAAATAAAAATTTGAAGGACTAATATGAACATATTGATACATTAAGGACTAAACTAATTCTTGTATTAAACTTGGAGGACATATTTGGCTATTAAAAAAAAGAATGGATAAGGAGGCAATTAAGTGAATTAACTAATTCCCTTTCTTGAGCAAAGGGGAATAATTAATAATAATGTGGCTATTGTAGGAAAATTAATCCATCGATAGGATATGCATATTGACTTGCTGTCTACGTATTTGTTGTAGGATTTTTATCTCTCAGCAGATAGGAGTAATAATTAATATGGCAATACACAGATATATCATGTTGTTTAATTTGGCTTTCCGAACAAGTAATATATTCACACGATGATTTTTCTATTTTGATTTGAAATAGCTTGATGATCTGCAGTTTGACTGCAGTCGCTTGCAGATACGTTAAACTAGCATGGTGGCTCGCGCAGATTGCGTGACTAGCATCATTATATTTTCTCTCATATAATAACATATATGTGTTCTCATTATATTATTAAAATATATTACAATGACAACATAATTTTAAATTTTGCAATAACTTTTCAAAACTACTAATGTGTAATAACTACTCTAGTCTCCTCTTCTAATATTCCTTATTTTTTAATTCTAAATTTCAGCTATTTCTAAATTGTATTTCTATATGGACTCTGCTTTTTCTTTTTCTCTGATTAATGTGAGAATTTCTAGGCCATGAGAGCGAACGTGGAGGCTCCTTTTTATTCCGAATTTTAGTTGGTTTTAAATTCCAATATGAACTCTATACTCTACTTCTAATATTCCTTATTTTTTAATTCTAAATTTCTTTTTTTTTCTTAATTGTATTTCTATATGGACTCTATACTCTATTTCTAATATTCCTTATTTTTAATTCCGAATTTCAGTTATTTCCTAATTGTATTTCTATATGGACTCTAGTGTTCTATTCTAATATTCCTTATTTTTTTAATTCCGAATTTCAACTATTTCTAAATTGTATTTCTATATGGACTCTAGTCTCCTCTTCTAATATTCCTTATTTTTTAATTCCGAATTTCAACTATTTCTAAATTGTATTTCTATATGGACTCTGGTCTCCTCTTCTAATATTCCTTATTTTTTAATTCCGAATTTCAGCTATTTCTAAATTGTATTTCTATATGGACTCTGCTTTTTCTTTTTCCCCGATTAATGTGAGAATTTCTAGGTCATGAGAGCGAACGTGGAGGCTCCTTTTTTTTCCCGAATTTTAGTTAGTTTTAAATTTCTATATGGACTCTATACTCTACTTCTAATATTTCTTATTTTTTAATTCCGAATTTCTGTTTTTTTTCTTAATTGTATTTCTATATGGACTCTATACTCTACTTCTAATATTCCTTATTTTTAATTCAGAATTTCTATTATTTCCTAATTGTATTTCTATATGGACTCAATACTCTACTTCTAATATTCCTTATTTTTAATTCTGAATTTCTATTATTTCCTAATTGTATTTCTATATGGATTCTATACTCCTCTTCTAATATTCCTTATTTTTTAATTCCGAATTTCAACTATTTCTAAAGTGTATTTCTATATGGACTCTAGTCTCCTCTTCTAATATTTTTTATTTTTTAATTCCGAATTTCAGTTATTTTCTAAATTGTATTTCTATATGGACTCTGTTTTTTCTTTTTCTCGGATTAATGTGAGAATTTCTAGGCCATGAGAGCGAACGTGGAGGCTCTTTTTTCTATTACTTTAATTAATTATATAATAGATAGATTTCAGTTATTCTCAACAGAGCATGAAAAGATCCCTCGCCAGAAAGAAAGAAAAAAAAAAACATGAAAATATATGAACGAGTTACATGCGCCATGCATGCGCAATCATACTCCCTAACCGATCATCTCAATCTGTGGATGCAAATCTAGCTGGGTTGTTAGCTGAATTTCTAGCGCTGATTGATTTGGGAACGGAAGACGTGTTCAGTAACAACTTCTGATCCACGTGAAATGCAAGGATAAATCGATGCCGCTTTTCATTCAAATTACGACTTTCGGCTGGCCATAATATTTCATCAAGAAGGCTATTCAAGGAAAAAAAATAAGTAGTGTGGTATATTACATGCCTATCCCACGGCCTTTCTGAAAAAGATTACTCGGAGACGAATATGCAACAACAAATTAAGCAATTCAAAATGATAAAATGACTGCAGATTGACACTAGCGTCAGAAAATGTCGTCGTTTTCATCAGCTGTACTACTATCTGGCATCAGTGAGTGAAGGTGCAGAAAGACACGCCTAACGCGACTGGCGTTGTTGGCAAAGTCGCCAGGAAAGCGCACGCAACCGGCATGCAGCACAGGCGCGCACAGCCACAGCACAAAACCTTTTCAGCTGTCACAAGTTTCAATTACAGGAAGGAAGGGCAGGCGATGCATCAAACAGCTGCAAAGCTTGACTCTTTTTGGAGCAACAGTTTACACAGGTGCTGGAACCACAAACATTACTAGTAATAAGCTACAAAAATTCCAGGGGGGAGGAAATGAATGCCCTCCATTTTTTTTCTTTAAACCACCATGAAAGGAAGGAATAACCAATGGTCTTTACAGTAAGATTTCCAGGCAGTGTTCGTCCTAATCAAGCATGCCGTTGGAACAAACCACAAATCCTTACGCTTTTCTTTCCTTGTTCCCACCACCCGACATTTATACAATGCATACAGACAGATTTCAGCAGACCTGGTTGGCTGGTCGTGTCTCATGATTTCAGCCGTCTCGCCAACAAATCTGGTTCTAGGGAACCCGTGAAAACAGTTTGGCTTCTATCACAGTACTCATGGCCACAGGTGGAGAGCTCGCGACCAGTGTCCCAAACATGTTTAGACAGATTGGAAGAGACTCGCCTGAACACCCAACTCTGGCCAATACAGTTCTGACTTATCAGCCCTTCTCTGCCCGATGTATCCTCAACTTCTTTGAAGGTGGTGTCATGAAAAGCTTTCTAACAGACGTAACAGGGTCATCCTCCTGAAATTATAAAAACCGTAAGGCCATGATTAGAGAGAAACATGGTGCATTCAATACTGCTAAGGTAGCAGTTAAAAAGAAACAAGACAGGATTCAGTACTGCAAGCTTACAGTTAAAAGGAAATTGAACAGGATTCAACAAAAAGCACTACCTCACTAAGAAGGCTAATCTGAGGCTCCACTTGTGAATCCTCATCAATTCTTTTGTCCTGAGAAAGTAATGCCGGCAGTGTCAGCCTCCATCCAGGCAAGGTTTCACCACCATCAGGGCATATCCAAGGGCAGAAAGTCCTGTGCTGCTTCATAGGATCAAATTCATTCAATTTGTCATACAGGCCTTGGCTTCCTGTAACGGAAAGACTTTGTTAAGCTTATGATATGAACTGAGAATCAACAGACATTTCAAAACCATTAATTAAAGACATCAATAAATAAGAACTATTCTATTTGTGCAATATCAACATTTACAAGAAGTTAGTAGGCTAACTGTAGTTAGATTAGAAGTTCTCAAACTCTTGCAACTATATAAAAGTTAACTAACAAGTTATTACTCCTGGTATTCTCCATGCTTTTCCAGTCCCTTCAATATTCTGCTTATTTATCTCTTTCAATTCCTTTAAATTGTGGCAATTGCACAGAATATATAGCAAACAAACAATTAGTACTTGACATTACGTTGTCCAAATCTATAGAAATGAAATCCTTACCTGATGGTTGAGATGCGCCCTTTTCCCCATCGTTAGACGATTTTGTGAGTGTGGCAGCCTGAACTGGCCTGGAATTGTTCGTGCAAGTCTTTGCCAAATCATGAGCATTAGAAGAATCTTCAACTGGTAAAGATTTAGGATCTGATCCATGTTGGCCAAGTTCATCTGTGCTTGTGTGACTTTTGATTGCAGCATGACCTGTTTCTGATTCTTCATTGGAAACTTCTCCTGTGCTGGTAACCCTACTTGTATCTGAATGTGAACCCCCTTGTTGGTGTTCAGGGTTTGCTACCAAGTTTGATGTGCCATTTACAGAATTCTCTCTTTGATGATCTGCTCCATTGGTGGTTGTGCCAGCATCAGTTGAGATTGTATTGTTGCCTTCCAACATATGAGACTCATCCATGCTTCTTTTGTGTTTGGTCAGCCCTGAAGCATGCAAAGTAACAGGAACCATGTGGTTATCACTTCCAGAGGAAATAAAATGCCCATGGGAGCTTAAGTCAGCTTTCAAATGTCGACTGACAACAGGTAAGGAAACTCTTGGCCGAAAATTCTGTCTAGTTGGCGGAGGACCACCAGCAATAGTGAAATTAAAACCAATATTCGCAGTCTTTGAAGGTCCTGCGCCACTGACTCTGCCAGCATGCCCCTCAGTTTGCTCATCTTGCCTACTAGAATCTGATATCAGCTTAAAGAGTTGAAGAGGTCGTTCTACAAGTGAAAAAGGCCACAAGGCAACACAAGCTCCACAAAATTGACAATCTAAAACAACTGATAATGGATCGTAATGCTGATATGCTTGACGAGCATCTGCAATTACTGTTGAACCATCAACTTCATTAGGTGCATAAACAACAACCCGATCTTCCATTGAGTTATTTATTAGCCCTGGTTGGGTCAATGTAGAGGAAGAGTTTGCATCTGAATGAGATTTAGTTCCACAATCAACAGCATAGGGTAGCAAGCGGGGTTCCCAACCACACAAACTTATTATCTTCAATGCCTGTTAGGCAGTTCAGCATTTAGTTAGCATGCAGGGAGACAAGATGTGGTGCACGTGAATTGGGCACAACAAAAAATGCAAATGAAAATGCACACAAGAGTTAATGTAATCCAGGGTCTGTATAGAAAGTAATATGAATGCCTAAGATAAGTAGGAGGATTTAATGCCAATAGAACTGACAAGTCAGCTTGTAGCAAACAGAAATTAAGTGCGTTCCTCGGGTTATATAAAATTGTGCACAGTTGATGAAACCTAACAATATGCTATTGTAGATGTTTATCAAGAACCTTGCAAAGGATTTGCATCTGTATGAAGTAAAATAAAATACTCTATACTCTAGTTCTAAATATTGCAATTTTATAATAGCACACAAACTACTTCAAAACTTGTACTTCCTCCGTTTCACAATGTAAGTCATTCTAGCATTTTCCACATCCATATTGATGTTAATGAATCTAGATAGATATATATGTCTAGATTCATTAACAACAATATGAATGTGGGAAATACTAGAATGACTTACATTGTGAAACGGAGGGAGTATATGACAGGATCAGCAAGGAAACAAAAGGAGAGCATAAGAATTTCTAATTCTGCATGCAACTGGTGGATATGCATGGACAACTGAACATGATATCCAGTGAAGACTGTATATAGGTGGTAAAACTAGGAAGTTACATATGTGTATTGTGCATGATCCATCAAATGAGTCACAAAAACAAAGTAACTCTTGCTGTAGCAATCAGGCATTATTCATCATGCGGAACATGTTTTATAAACCAATATCATGGAGACATACTAAAGTGTAATCTAGAAATGAAATGGGTATGTAAAATTTTAAAAGATAAATCTCACAGCAAGCAATTGAGCATAATCAAAAACCTGACCTGATAATATGTGTCAGCATCTTGAAAAGTGTGATCCAAATCCTTAATTGTTGAATCTTCAGTAAGTATAAATCCCCCTTTAAGGACAACTGATGAAGAGAACGGTTTCAATAGAAACTGCTCTAGCTGTGGGCTCCTCTTCTTCATGCTCTCCAGAGAAGAGCACGAGATTCTTGGAAGTGCTGAGAGTCGTAGAAGTGAGGAGAAACCCTCGTGGTAATTCTCAACTAAAACAGGAGGTGGTGTTGGTGGAAATAAGGCAAGTGATTCATCACATATGTTGTCAATCCATGGACAGAGTAGTTTATGTCCATTGTCCAGCTTCAAGCTAAAAACAGCAGCAGCCTTTTCAACTGCAGGGCAAATAGCTTTAGATGTAAGAAAATAAATATAAACAGATGCTTAAATCAAGGAAGCCATTGATGCCAAGATATTGGAGGTTCGCATGAACTGGCATGAAAACTATACTCATTGAATACACCCTCATTCTAAAACATAATGGTAACTTTCTTCATATAAAATCCAAATATAAGTGTATGCCTATTTATAGGCTTCTTGACAGTAGTTGAGATGGAACACGAGTCAAGTACAACAATGCACAAACCTTGCTGCGGTGCCCATGAGGAAGGAGTGGAGAACAGAAGCCGTGCCTCACATGCCTCACACGTTATAACATCGGGCTCAATATTAATCCATCCTCTCCTTGCGCAGTTAACTGGACTAATAACCTGGAAAGGACAACTTGTTATCACCTATCAGAAAGCAGCGAAGATACTTGAGCTAAGCATGCTGGTTCAACAACTGCAAAGATATCTCCCTTCCGATTCTCAAACACAATGGAGAGAAGGACACTAACAAACTCACTGATTCCACAATTTACCAATGACAGCATCACCATACATAACCCCTCACCGAACAGCAGCATCACCAATTCATAACCCCAAACCGAACCAATTTATAGAGGAACAATTCCAGGACATAACCATACATTCATTAGCAATTTTCACCGATCAATTGAGAGAGACCTTAAACATCCATTTCGATCTAAAAAAACTCCATTCATTAGCCATGATTATTGCAGTATATTACAAAGTGCACCAAACCACTTAGCTAGGTGTAACGCTTTTATTTTCCACAATCAGTGGCCAGCGGTCAGCTGATGCAAACCAACGGAGGGTAGAACTGGGCGTACCTTGGGTTTGGCGAACCAGGTCATGGCCTTGAAGGTCGCGAGCCGCCGCATGAGGTCGGCGCGGTCCCACGGGCGGCACGGCGGCGGCGGCGAGATCGCCGACATGGCCGCGAGCTGCGACGGGAGCCGCGAGCCCCGCACCATCCCGAACCTCCTCCCCCCTGCGCCAGCCGCCTTCCCCGCCCTCCCGATGCTGCACGGCCGCCAGATCAGCACGCCAGGGGCACACGTCAAGATGATGCGAGATGCAGATACGGGGCACGGCCATGGCTAGGATTAGGGCAAAGCGAAAGCGAACCCTACCTGAGAGCGGAGGAGGTGGATGCGGAAGAGGGCTTGGAGGAGCCGGGCCCCGTGCCAGCCTTGGGCTTGGGGAAGTGGTAGAGCTTGTCCATGGCCTTCTTGAGGCGCCGCTCCGAGTCGGCGCCGATGTCCCCGCCGCCGCCGCCGCCGGTGGCCATCGTGGGGTGGCGCGAGACGAGTGGATCGGCGGCGAGCGGCGATGCGTCGTCGGGGCTGGAGAGGAGAGGCCGCCGCTGCTTGCGCTTGCGGTGGGACGGCGAGAGAGAGAAAGAGCCTCGCTGCCTGGTGCCTGCTTGTTGGGCCTCGCTTACATGGGCTTGTGATTCCAGCCCATCTGTGTGGACGGGTCGAGATTTGGGCCTACCACAGGGATGGGCCAGAATTGCTGGCCTACAAAAATAAGATAAAGATGGGCAATTCTGATTGGAATAAGTTCACCAGCAGTCCCTCAACTTTACGCCGACTTTGTATGGCATCCCAAACCCCAAAACCAGAAATCTTCATCCCTAAACTATACAAAATCATGCAATTTTGATCCTATGGCAGTATGGATCTTGGTTTAACGTGACATCCTAGTTGGCAAAATAAAAAAATAAAAAAACTATGGGACCCACATGTAAGTCTAATTATTTCTTCTCTCCTCTTTTCTCTTTTCTTCTTCTCTTCTCCTCTTCAGCGATAGTAGAGAGGGGACAAGCCGGCGGTGGCAGAGAGGGGACACGCGACCGGCAAGCCCGACCGAGCGAGAGGGGAGGCAGGCAGCGGGAGAGGCGCGGTGACGGGGACGACGAGGTGATGGGGGACAGGGTACCGGTGCGGGGTAGGCGCGTCGCGAGTGGCGTTGCGTTTGACATGGTTGCGCCCCTTGACTTGGACGGGCTCTCTAGTTGCAGCTAGGAGCTACTAGCTAGCTATATGTCCACGCGTGTACGCGCACCTGGTCATCGCGTTGGAGCTCGGAGCGGAGGTGACTGGCTATTTGGGCGTGCATGGAGGGACGCGACCGCCACCGGAGCGTGTTGTCCTCGTCGTCCGGGAGGTGCACGCTGGAGTCGCTACGAGCTCCTACGGCACCGCTGTTGGACACCGACGACGACAACGGCGATGGAGACGAACAACCGGAAGCTCGAAGACGGCCGCGTCGACCTGAGGCGGTCGTACTCATCGTGCATGTGGACGAGCTCCTTGTCGGAGGTGACCAACACCAATAGGTCCTTGTCGGCGAGGCGGTACCTGACTGCGGTGATGGCAGCGGCAGACCGACAAGCAGCGAGGCCGGCCGTGGCGCCTATCCCCTCCCCCATCTCCAAAACTGAGGGCAGCCACTCGCGATGCCTGCCTGCCCTGTCCCTCATCGCCTCGCCATCCCCATCGCCATGCCTCTCCACTCCCCCATCTCCCGCCGGTTGCCTCCCCTATCCCCCTTTTCCTCCTCCCATCGCAAGGCGACGACAGTGGCGGAGCTCGGCCGGGCTCACTAGCCGCGTCTCTCCTCTCTGCCACCGTCGGCATGTCCCCTCTCTGCCATCGTTGAAGAGGAGAAGAGAAGAAGAAAAGAAAAGAAAGAAGAGACTTACACGTGGGTCTTATAAATTTTTATTTTTTATTTTACTGATTGGGATGCCACGTCAACGAAACTAGATATCCATATTGTCATGGGACTGAAATTACATGGTTTTATATAGTTTATGAGTGAAAATATCTGGTTTGGGAGTTTAAGGATGTCATACAAATAAATTTGACGTGAAGTGGAATGACAGCTGGTGAACTTATTCCATTATTATGATTTGAAAGGTTCGGTGAGCGTAACACCAATAATGACTTATTTAAAACACATTTGTAGTTTTTTCAAGAATTTTTTTCACAAAGTATTTAGTTCCCACACATTGCTAATTTGCTAGTACCACTGTAATTTACTAGGCCACTCACGAGCTAATCACGCCCAAATTGATTGAATATGACTACCAGTAATAAGTGAAATTATTATAGGGGCATAATCACCCGCAGGTGCACAAAGCGAAGTCAATTAATGTCCCCCCGGGCCCGCATGTCATCCGCCTCTCACCGATGCGTGTACACAGAGAAAGCGTGCAAAAAGGCGAGCTCCCTCTCGACCGTTGCCACCTCGCAGCGTAGTCAGAGACCCACCCGACCGTTGCACCTCTCGCCCCACCCACACCCCTGATCCCTCGCTGACATTTCAAATCCCCGGGTACCCATCCGCCGTCCATCCCCGATCCGACGGCCACCGCGCGTCGCGTCCGTCTCCTCCCCTCCACGTCGCTTGCAACTTTTACAAGAGGAAACCGGACGAACACCTCCTCTCCTCTCCGCCTCCCCGGATCCAGAAACCCCAGCCAGCCAGCCCCCCAAATCGGCGGAATTCCGAGATCTCTTGCTGGGATTCGAGCGATTCGACGCCCTCCTCGTCTGCTGAATTCCTTCGATTCTGTGCGGTTTCGTTTCTTGGTTTGGATTTTACGGGAGGTGCTGCCCTGGGATCGATCGATGCGGAGTTTGTGATCTGATCTTTGTTGTGTGGGGAAGATGCCGGTCTCGACAAGGGCCAGCGCGGCCGGCGGCCAGCCGTGGAGCTCGGCGGCGCCCGCGCCGGCGTCGGCTCCGGGACGCGGCGGGGCGCGGCGGGAGATCTTGACGAACCACCACCACCACGGCCTCAAGGAGAAGATGCGCGCTCTCACCCTCTTCTACGAGCAGCACAAGCAGCAGCTCGCCTCGTCGCAGGGCGGCGGCGCGCGGGGCCGCCGCAGCATCCAGTACGCCGTCGGCGAGGTGGGCGGGGACGAGAACGGGAGGAACGCCGAGGAGGAGGACGACGTGGGGCGCAAGCGCCACGACGCCGTCCCGGCGGCGGTGCTAAGGGAGAACATGGCGCCGCCGGAGGAGCGAGCCCCACCCCCACCTCCAGCTCCGCCTCCCAAGAGCAGCCACGTCGTCGTGTTCTCCAGGCAGGCCGACCCAACAGAGAAGGAGAACGTCAGCCACGGCGGGATCGCCACCATGTCGTGCCCCATCAAGAAGGCGGCGCCGGCGCTCCCCGCGCCCGCGGCCAGGAAGCTCTCGCTGGGGGGCGGCATGGCCGCCAGGCTGAAGACCGCAGGGGAGGCCGGCGCCGGCAATGGCGACGCCGCCGGCAGCCGAATCATGGTGTTCGTCAGGCTGCGGCCGATGTCGAGGAAGGAGAAGGACGCCGGGTCGAGGAGCTGCGTCAAGATCGTGAACAAGAAGGACGTGTACCTGACGGAGTTCGCCTCGGAGACCGACTACCTCAGGCTGAAGCGGGTGCGCGGCCGCCATTTCTGCTTCGACTCCTCCTTCCCCGACACCACGACGCAGGCGGAAGTCTACAGCACCACGTAAGTGGAACACAAATCTCATGAGCTTATAGCAAATTAACGCTTGATTAAGCTAGCTTGTTACTGCATTTTTGTTTTTGCTTCTTGTAACTTGTTAAATTGAGAACGCAAAAAGTCCACAACTTAGGTTTCTTGCATTTTGGTATGATGATACTCAAATGTGGTAAATCTGCTGATGGAATTGCATAAGTTGATTATTAGATATTAACCCACATTTCATGAAAAAAGTGTAATAGCATTTGCTTATTTGTGATATGACATTGTAATGTGACAAACATTTTGACATGACACTCTAATGTGATAATTCTGCTGATGGAATTGCTCAATGGTAACAAAAGTTGGTCAGATATTAGGCCACATTTCATGAGAAAGTGTACTAGCCTTGTTCGATTGCGATTCATCGCTAAAATCCGGTACATATATAGCATGGAGTTAATTATCCATCTTCTTTGATGCTGCAGAACATCAGATCTTGTGGAGGGTGTTCTGCAAGGTAGGAATGGGACGGTGTTCTGCTATGGAGCCACTGGTGCTGGGAAGACCTACACAATGCTTGGGACGATGGAAAGCCCCGGCGTAATGGTGCTCGCCATCAAGGATTTGTTCACCAAGGTGAGGCAGAGGAGTCATGACGGCAACCACTCAATTCAGCTGTCCTACCTCGAGGTCTACAATGAGACAGTGAGGGACTTGCTCTCTCCTGGTAGACCCCTCCTCCTTAGAGAAGATAAGCAGGTCAGTGATCTTAAACATATTGAACTAGTATGGAAAAAGTCTTGTTCAATGATTCTATTTTGATGTTGAGTAGAATTGCCTAATACATGTTCTATTCACGCTCAATGGTAGGCTTCTTGCAGTTAGCATTCTAACAGAATAATTTATTTTGGCATTTCAGGGAACTGTTGCTGCTGGTCTTACTCACTACAGAGCATACTCCACGGATGAGGTAATAATTTTTTCCTTGGACACTACAAGTTTTACAGTGTTCTTGGTACTGAATGGTGGAAATGATCTTACGTAATTTATGGTTATTGTCACAGGTAATGAAATTACTTCAGCAGGGTAACCAGAATAGAACAACAGAACCAACCCGAGTAAATGAGACCTCATCACGCTCCCATGCAATCCTGCAGGTACATTCTAATATGTGTTGTGGTCATTCTTTCTGAACAACATGATCCCACAGGTTTGGATTGGATTGATGAAAACCTTTGAATATCTGCAGGTCATCGTCGAATATAGATCCATAGATGGAGGTAGCATAGTGACGCGAGTTGGAAAGCTCTCTCTCATTGATCTTGCTGGATCAGAAAGAGCTCTAGCAACTGATCAGCGCACGCAGAGATCAATTGAAGGCGCAAACATTAACCGCTCGCTCCTTGCGCTCAGCAGCTGTATCAATGCTCTTGTGGAGGGGAAGAAGCACATACCATATCGCAATTCCAAGCTGACACAACTCCTGAAGGATTCACTTGGGGGCTCCTGCAACACTGTCATGATCGCGAACATAAGCCCCTCAAATCTTTCCTTCGGGGAGACACAGAACACGCTTCATTGGGCTGATCGTGCCAAGGAGATTAAAACCAAGGTCTGAAACTATGATTTTACTAGTAGATGCCATTGTTCATTCTTCTTAAATAGAACAAGTACTAAACTGAAAGAATCTCATGTTTCTTTTTCAGGCATTAACCACTGCAAATGAGGAGGTTTTGAGAGTCACAGATTCTGAGACTGATCAGGCTAAGCTGGTGTTGGAGCTGCAGAAGGAGAACAGTGAGCTGAGGCAGCAGTTGGCACGGCAACAACAGAAACTACTGACTGTTCAGGCTCAGACACTTGCTTCCAATGCCTCGCCGCAGCAATCTCCTGCTCCCTCAGCGCAAATATCAACACCATGCTCAACTCAAAGAAAGGTGAAGCGTTCTATCCTAGCTGGGAACTGCTTCAACACACCAGATTCCAAAAGACCTGCAGCAGAGAATGCACAGGTCCGGGATCTGCAGAGGAAAGTCAAGGCCATGGAGGCCGAGATCGAGAAGATGAAGAAAGAGCACCTTCTGCAGCTCAAGCAGAAGGATGAGTTCATCCGTGATCTGATCAACAGGAAGACCTCAAATGTTCCTGAAGCAGCAACATGTGAGAGAAGAGTTGCCACCAGAGCAAGCGTGCGAAAGGCGCAGAAAGATGCAGCAGCTGCAGGCGAGCTAAGGAGCCCGAGCCACCGGTTTACGTCACCAGTACCAACAGCCAAGAAGCGTACCTTCTGGGACATTGGAGGCAACAGCCCTTCTACACTTGCAGTGAATGGAAGGAAGACCCGGAGCCATGTAGCCGCAGAAACACCAAAAGGCACTTCAATGCTTCTTCAGGTATCTTCGACGTTGCAAACTTGCATATTAGTCATATTTTGGCACATTCATGTGTTCTCTTTTTTGTTGTTGTTGTTGAAGACTCGCTTATCATTTCACTTTCTTGCAGCCTGGATTTGCAAGGCAGAGAGCGATCCATTGAGACAACACTCAGAAGAAAATTGCTTACAGCAGATAGGCATGTCCATACAATTTTTTCCAGCCTTATTCAACTGTGTTAATTGGAGTCAGTTGAAATTCATGTATCCATAGTCTTGAGTTCAGTTTGTCCGAGCAAACTGAAGCTCCATAGTTCTTTTTCCTAGCTTTTTAACCCATTTAAGTTTAAATTATTGGACCTGTAAAACATTTGATCAGGAGAGAGGATGTGAGCTGATTTTTAAATTAATAGTTTTGAGGCCCCAGTTTCCATACTGTAAAAGTCATTGCTGAAGTTTAACATTTTATTATTCCTGGTATTCATCAAAACAAATGACTATCCCCTGCAGCCTTAAAAGGATAATTTCAAGAAGCCAAAAGGAAAAAAAAAAGGATACTTGATGATGTTGCAGAAGTTCGCTTTATAGTTTGTAAACTGTTGGTCCCTCTCTCCCAAACACCCCCTCAGTATCAGTATGTTCTAGTGCATCTGGACCATAGAATAAAAACAGCACACGGCATCGTTAAGAACATTTTGCGAATCTGATTTGTGGATGTTGTGGCTTGGAGGACAGGAGGTTGAGGGAATTGTTCATTCATCAATCAAGCTCTCCTTTTAAAGGGATTACAGCATGACAACTTCATAACAAAGTGCTAATCTTAACAATGGCCATAACAATCAAAATCTTGAAGGCAAACCAATCCTTAATCTGGGTTAAGAAGGAAAGCTAATCCTTGAACTAATTCTGATGAAACTGAAACTGCGAAAGTCGTCGTCACGTTTCCACGCCTGATGAAGGAATTCCCCACGTATGACATATCTAAATGTTCTGTTTACTTGAAGGAAAAGTTCGCCTCCTCTTCAGATACATTCTCTTGCTGGGCGCTTTATCATGCATGGCCTCCATCAGATATTCTTCCTTGTGTGGATTTGTAGATTTGATGTCAGATACACATTCATCTTGAAAAACTTGGTCTGCTCTATCTGCATAGTTGGAAGGTCCAGCCTCTTGTGCTGCTGACTGAAAGTTTGTGCCCAGCATCTCATCTCCGTAGCTACAGTCACTGCAGCTCTCACTTTCACCAGAGCAGCTGCTGGTTCCATTCTCAGAGGAAGAGGTGCCGCTAAACGTGTTAAAGACTGTGATGCTCTCTTCCCGTGAGTTGCGAAACGAATGGCTCTTGTACTTCGTACTGTTCAAAGGCAAGATGGAATCATGCTTCAGGCCTAGCATATCCCTGCCAAGGCTGTATGAGGAGCATAGTTTCCTCTCGATACATTCCTTAGCATTTACAGTTTCACCCAATTGTCCCAAAGCTTCATTCGAGGAGGCGTCGTGGACAGTCTTCTGCTCCAGCTCTGATATCCTCTTGCCTAAGATTTTCCTCTTAGTGTGAAGAGAGTGCTACATTCATTCAGAAGGTAGAGGTGATCTGGAGTTTAGTAAAAACTAATCTGAACAGTGTAAAAGCGACAAATAAAACCAATGCACATACCCTCTTCTCCAGGAACTTTTTCAAGCCATTCTTTTGAAGCTTTTTCTTCCTCCAAAAGATGCAGCAAAAGCAGTTAACAATCGCTATCACTATGACAATAAAATGGAAGAAGAGAACAAGACGGATGTTGCGGTCGCCTAATGGACACAAGTAAATTCAGTCAGTAAGATACATTCTCAGCTAAATAACAGAAGGAAAGAAAATGAGAAAACTTCACCTTGATCATTGCCAAAGTTGGGTTTTACTGTTCTGCAAGTCCAAGCAATTCTTTGCCCTTGTGTAACAAAGAGGTGAAGTCTCACTCAGTATAATAGCTACAATTTCAATTGAAAAAACAATGAGATACCTGAGAAAAGAAACATACTTCTCGTGTAGCACTGCGTAGTGCTGCCAATTCCTGCATCAAGAAATTTCAGAGGAAAAAGGCTTTGTAAATTAGTTGACATCGTAGCTTGTACTATGTAGCAAGTTATTTTGTTTATTTGGTAAACGTAAGCATAGCAATCGCTAATAACTCCAGACCTAAACATACTTACTTGCGGCAGAAAATAACCTCAGAACAATGGTCTCATCTAGTGCAAAATCATTCAGGTCAGTACTGGACAGAAAATCTGATAGTTCTCCTGCAAGTCAAATGAAATGTATCATATGATAGTCATTTCAGTCATTATTTAGGGGTAAAAAATGAATCACACTGGACAATACAAGGACTGATTCATTCTAAGATAGGAATAAACCAGGATAGTTTCCAGTCCAGTGGATTGTTCCATTTGCCGGTGTCAACAAAGTAAGCAAAGTGCTCGATGACTTCATCACAGATAAAGATGTAGAATCACCAATAGTTTGGTTTGATTTTGCTTCCATTATGGTCTGGCTGACATATACTGAAAACCCTGAGCAGTCAAGGACGGGACTTGCATGGATCACTGATCCAGGTGTTGTTCTTTCAGGAAACCTTCTGATGTCACCATTAGGGGAGATTGAATACAGGGTCCCATCTAGTGAGCCAACTGATATCCAACCTGTTACAGCCTTACAGTAGTCAAACAAAGTAGCACGATGAAAATATATTACTACAAAGTAGCACACTCACAGGTGTTGGTGATACTATGAATGTGCAAGTGAATGCAACCACTGATGAGGACACACATTAGTCCAAAACCAAACACAACTTCAAACAAAATAAAGAATCTTACCATTGGAATCAACAGGTGGCAAGATTTTCTCATTACTCAGTGGACCAATGGTCTGCTGCCATGAAATGTTTCCTGTCAAAACATCAAGCCCCATTACAATTGACTTCCTTGGAAGGACAATGTATAAGAGCCCATTATTTCCTGGTACAATATTCATCACTTTGTCAAGTGAGCCCAAGTCTTGGATCCATCTGTACTGACCGCTCTTAATGTACAAGGAGTAGAGCTGGCCTTCAGTATTTGATACCTGTGTAGGCATATGGATTGCAACAGGAAATTAAGATATAAATGATATGATAAAAAGGTGAGAAGACAAAACTACGGATATTGAAAACAATTAGTAGCGAAATGAGGCCTTACATAAAGAGTTCCCTCACATCGATCAACAACTGGAGGTGAATTGAAATAGCAGCCTGAGATATTTGTTTTGCAGCCCAGACGGCTGACGAGATCAGCCACAGGCCCTGCACTCCACTGTAGCTCAGCATGCAACGAGAAAGCGAAAAGGCCACGGTTTCTAATGGTAAGAAAAAGAGATGAAGAACTGCCACTGATCGATAGACCGATGATCTCCTCAGACCTCCCTGGTGTTGCATTGTAACTGAAAAATACTTCTGACGGTGGATCAGCAGTGTGTAGTTTCTTCGGAGTTATCTTTATGACCTTGTTATCTTCTGCCACCAAATATATCTGCAAAATGGATACAACTCGTTCTGACAAGGCTTACAAATGGAACAGCAAAGCAATCCATACATCTAAATAAGCATTTTCGCACAGTAAAACCTTATCCATCATAAAATGAAGAGTCGCAGCGGCAGAAAGGAGAGGATCGAACTACTGAACAATTGAGACTACAAAAAGGATCATGCATAATTTCACTGCAAGTCTTTACCAGATCATATGCATCACAGTTTCACAAAAAAACTCAATTGATTACCTCATCCCTCTCGGCAACCGGACTGATGCCCTCTTTACAGGTGTGACCGAGAGTAACCATCCAAGCGATGGACCCATTTCGCTCGAAGGCGACAAGGCTCTTCTTCTCAGAGCAAGCGATGAGACGGCCGTCATGCCCAATCAGGGGGCTCCCGAGGGCACCAGCGACTCCTGGAGGACGCCTCTGTACTGCAAAGAAAACATCTAAAATCAGACACAACTCCGTGCTGCAAAGAAAACATCTAAAATCAGACACAACTGCAACCGTACGTCTCTCATGGCAGGAAGAACATCCAAGAAGCAAAAGAAATCACAAGAAACCGTGGGAGAGACAAATGTACAATACGTACGCCTTACCATTTCCAGCGGTTGTTGTTGTTGTTGCGGGGAGTCGCTGATGCCTGGGTGATTGTGAGCACCCTGCGCCGATCAGAACGCACACGAGCAAGCACAGGCGATGCAGCGCATCCATGGCCATGGCTACTCCGGTTTCGTTTCAGAGAGAGTTAAAAAACTGAGAAGAAGTGAAGAGAACGCAGGAGGTTGCCTTGTTATATAGGGGAGGTTAGTACTTAAGTAACCGCCCAAAACAACCCCAAAAAAGTTTACACGCACGGACGGACAGGTAGGCGTGGCAGAAGCAAAGTGGGACCCACATGTCAGTGACAGCTGCATAGTCTTAGATATTACAGCAGGATACAGAAAGGACAGTTAACACAAGCGGGCTAGCAGGCAGGCATGGAATTCTATGAAAAATTCTACTAGATGCTAGCGCAGCATGTTCCGAAGTCCGAACACCCATATCATAGATAGGGCAACATAAAGATAAGAACGTATCACATATGTGATCATAAACAGTCAAGAGAATTTACTGAAGCATTGCCATCTTCCATGACTTTACACGGTAGCCTATGAAACGCCGAAGATTTTGGGTCAAGTTAGCTTCTTGGTTTTCCAGCCAATCGTCTCCTCATCAATGAGAGCCTTGATCTTGAAGGTCTTTCACATTCATCAGCACTATCTTCACTATCTGAAACAACAATCCTCTCCACAGGAGTTGTGTTTTGTTGGATGGAAGACTTGCTTTGCCTGGCATCTTTCTGTGGATCAATGGTACCCAAGATCTGATTTTTGAGGACAGGCGCTGACAACGGAAGTTCATTGGGCTTCCTGTTGTTTTGAGAACAATCTGTTTGCATATATTCCTTCTCAATGGTCTTGTCTGCAGGCAGCTCAGATTTCAATGACAGCCTCTTACTTAGTAAATGCAGCTTCTTTCGGCCTTGATTGCATTCTTTACTTGGTATCAACTGGGTACTTGGAAGTACATTTTCGTTGTTAGAATTTTGTTGAACCAGATTAGTATGCCCAATGGAATTTCCCCCTGAAATAACATGCGATTGTCTTTTATCCAGATTACTGAAGCCTGACAATGAAGGCAGATGATTTGGAGCCATGTTTTCCTTCTGAACATTGCTCTTGCTTTCAGGCTTTGCCGATTTCAGTGACAACTTCTGACCAAGTGACCTCACATTTGTACCATCGCCTTCTGATGCTTTATACAAGCTATCTAATGACTCACCAATGCGCTTTGCACTACTCTTCTCTAAAGCATTATCAGAAGATCCCATGACAGGATGCTTAGTGTTCGATGATGCTGATGCTAGAAGATGATTAGGTAACTTATCTTCCACACTGCCATTACTGTTCTTGCTAGGACCTTCTGATGTAACAGGAAGCCCCTGCCCAAGTAACTGCAAGTTCCTTCTAGTTCCTTGGTATTCTTTCTTTGAAGTCACTGCACTATCTGCGATGACAGATATGCTTTCTGAGGTATCATTCAGTTTGCCTGAAACATCAGACAAGCATGCAGTAGGATCAGTGGGTCTTGCTGTCGATGATAAGTGGTTTGTCACCAGGTCCTTTTTGCCAGTGGTGGTATTCTCTTCAGGTACTGATTTCAGAGATAACTTTTGACTAAGTAGCCTCATCTTCTTTCTACTCCCATCACAATTTTTATTTGAAGCTTTTGGCAAAGGCTCCAGGCTTAGCTTCTCCTCTTGTATGTTTGGTGCCTGAAAATTTGATAACACACAATAAGCTCAAGCAAACATCAAGAGAAAACTATCACACTATTGGAACAACAACTCAGCAAAATTGAATCCATAATTTGATATGCTTCTTTACCAGGGTTGAAACATCTACAGAGCTCCAACCACTAGCGCCAATTGCTGAAGGATTAGCATACTTTTCAGTCCAGGACCGAGCATTTATGTCAAAAACTTGTCTGTTGTATTTGTACTCTCGACTCTGTCACAGAAAACAACAATACTGCTTTAAGATGAAGGACAAGTACTTAACATATTAATATTATGTATCACTATTCTCCTGCTGTTCCCATGGAAATGCACTTGCTACTTCCTTGCAGTAAAATGTACTACTTACTATTTCAGCCATCAGCCCATCGTCAGGGTTTGGGTCACTTAGCAGCAAACCAATGCTTGTCAAAACAGTAGCAATGTTGAGCGATGGTTGCCAGGCACCCTGCACATTAGTATTTGTTCAATATAACACAAACTGTTTGAAATTTTAAGAGGAAGTATAAATTGTTGAATTTTAAGACCTCAGAAGTCATGCACAGCAATTCATCTAGTTGTAAAGTAACTCCTAACAATTACCTTTGGTGGTAAATTTAGTATATCAAGGCAAATTCGTCCTCCATTGTCTATGTTGGGATGATAAATAGGAGTAACAAATGTCACATTGGGAGGTTGAAAAGGATATCTGCATCGCAGCAAAAGCAAAACCTTCAGAACATGATGAATCATAAGTGAAACACAAGTTGGTTTCCATTATAATACCTTTCAGGAATTTGGATCTTCAGAACAAAAACTCCTTTTGAATAAACAGTTTCATCAGGTCCCTGTATTCCTTTATTTAATGAGCAGGGATGCCAAATGCAAAGCAAGGGCAATAACAGTTAGCATGCCAGATTTAATTATTGAGTAGAAAAAAATGATATACTGCTAGGGGCATAGGGTTAGTACTGAAAAGACAAAGAACGTACTGGCCTCGAAACTCAACAACGATGACAAGGCACTTTCATCCCCAGAAAGATTAAGGGAGACCCCATGAGGTGGATCATTTAGAAGAAGCTTAACCTCTTTCTGCATTCGCAGATTCAGTCTTGCAGCCTGAGCCATCTAATAATTTAAAGGGTATCGGCCTGAAAATTAAAGGTACATTACTTTTCAGTGGTTGACAACTCAAACATTAAAGCATTTAACTCATACACATTAAGATAAAAGGACATGCATGAACATTGTTTTGCACAATATTCTTGATCCATATTTCATCTGTACCAAATAATGTAGTCTTGTGCACCACGTATACAACTGAAACAAGACATGAGGACAACATAGTACAAATTTGCAGAGAACAATGCTTGTGGTTTGATTTTTTTTTCTTTAAGAATATACTGAATCCTGCTAGTTTGCAATGATTATGTCAAGTAAGGGCAAGCTATCAAAGATCACAGATGAGAAGTTCTTCATGGTTCTCAATTCTCATATAGGAGTAGTTCCCTCTTCTCCTTAATCCATGTAACTTTTTTTTTAGAGAAGGGTATTTTACCTGGCCTCTACATCCAACCGGATATATGCAGTCTTTAATCCGTGTAACTTGTTCATCATTAATTTAAGATAGAAAGAAATTGTTCGCTTCACCTAGAAAGCTAGAACAATGGGTCCAACACAACTACACACGCTGCACGCATCTAAATTCAGCACTTTCACGAAGCAGGAGCAAAGCTCTAAGGTGAAAACCAGACAGCTTACAACCCCCATGTGTTCAAGCCTTCAAGGCAAATAAATCAGCACTCTACATTTCACCAGCAGACCGCACCATCAGCGGACCAACTGGCGCGCGGTGTCCCCCCCCCCCCCCCGCGTCGCTTCTCATTCGCAGGCGCCATGGCGGCTAGTGGGGAATTGCGTCGAACAGTTGGCGACCCCGGACGAGGCCGGCCGCAGATTGGAGCACAGCGGGAGCATGTCAGATCCTTACCTGCCGCATCAACGGCGACCAGCTCCGGCGGCCACAACGGCAAGGGTCTTCCTCCTCCTCCTCGGTTGCGCCCGGCGATCGCGAGCTCCCGCGTCTCGTTTCGAAGGGGATTTTTGGAGGCGAGAGGCGGGAAGAAGTGAAGGCGATGGCGCGGCGTCGCGAAAGGCAAGCAAAAACGAGGAGACGAGAAAAAAAAAATCATGGACCTATATGGGCTTAGTCTCTCTGCACATGGGCCACATAATGGGCCTAATTCTACGGCCCAAATACTTAATTTTGGGCTTTCCTATTTTCCGGCCATTTTACCCTTTTACTATCATCCAACGGAAGAGGGGAGAGGAGAAGCGAACCCTCCTCCCGGCGATGGCGACGACGGCTGCGGCGTACGGCTGCCCGGCGGCGGCGGCGGCGGCGCCGTTCGCGGCCAGCGTCTCCCGCCGCCGCGCGCCCCTTTCCTGCGTCTCGCTCGCTTCCTCCTCCTCCCGCAGGCGCACGGCGGAGTTTCCCGGGTGCGCGCCGCTGCTGCTGGCTTCTTCCTCCCTCTCGAGTCGAGCTCGGCTTCGTTTGGTGTCTGAGTTTGTGTTCTCTCCTCTCGCAGGTTGAGGGTTTCGTGTCTCCGTAGGATACTGGCTGTCTCTGCGTGCTCCGGGGAGGCTGATTCGGACGCGGGGTCTGCGCCGGCGGTAACTTTCTCCACTCCCTGCGTGCTTTCTGATCTGTTCCGATTGTAAGGGATGAACTAGCTTTGGGTGTTTTCTTGGAACGGATTAGTTGTGCTCTTGCTAGCTTTGGTGATGCTGATGCACCACCTCCAGTGAATTCAGTAGTATGTCCTATAAGAATGTAAAGATAAAAATCTTGCTCCTCTTGAGCCTGATCAGATGGAATTCCTACTGGGAGGCCCTAGGAACCATAGGGGATTTAGCAGGATGGAGAGATACAGAGCTCTTGGGGATTCATTGCAAGTTGATACAGTTGCATGCCATTTCTCTGTGCTGAGGGACATGTTCCCTAATGGTATGAATGCCCTGTGCATGTTCCCTAATGCCATTACTGATGTTCTAAATCCTACTGCTGAAAGAATTGAATCATTCATCAGATGATTTGGTTGCTATGACCTGGTGATCGGGGACAGCTTGTTGAACAACATTGCTGGTGATCGGGGACAGCCTGTTGAACAACATTGCTGGCAGCAACCGATACCACCATGATGGTTTGGAGGGTGAACATTATGTGCTTTTCTATCGCTATTCAGAATCATCGATGAAAATTCTAGTAGTTAGTTGTGGTAGGCTGGTAGCAGTTGTAATACAAACTCTCTGATAACGGATTTCGTTACCCAATCAGCAGCAATATGAATGTCTGCTTAAATTGTAGTAAGTTGTTAGGATATGTGACATGCAAATATATAACATTAGTATGGAGTGGAAATGGCATCCTGCATGTATATCTACATATAGGAGACATAGTCACATTACACCGTGCAAATATACTATGGGCCTGTTCACTTTGATGCCAAAAAAAAACCTTGCCAAAATTTTGGTATAGTTGCCAAAATTTTGGCAAGATTTCTTATATAGTTACCAAAATTTGGTAGCAAACTAAATGTAGCCACTTTTTTTTGGCAACTTTACCAAAATTTGGTAAGGTTGAAAATGGCATCAAAGTGAACAGGCCCTATGTGAATTATGGATGATGTTCAACCTGGTGTCTTGATGTAGACTACTAAGTTATGATTTTTAACTTTGAGCTTGGAATAGGGTGTGGTGTTCCAGCATTCTTTTGTTCACCTCTTAAATGCACATATGTTTTGGTTCATAAAGATATGCTAATTGCTAAAAGGGTAATGTTTCATTAAATTTGTGTTTCTGGGCATTTTAGAGACTGATTTGTGCATATGACCTTCAAAAACAATATGCTGCATGGTGCGAAAATACGGAAAATAACACCTTGTTTTTTTCCTGATATGTCCTGTACAGCCATGGACTGTGCAACTTGACTGCATGGGCAGCTTCAAAAACTGAAAATAAATAACTCAAGTTAATAATAATATTTTGTGTAATTTACCATTTCAATGCCATGCAAGCGTCTTTCTTCAGATAGTTCATTATTCACCATATGAATGGAATGCGGGCATTCTTACTAATCACTACGCTGGAATGGCTTAAATGACAAAATTTTGTTTGATGTTACAGGAAAGCACTTTTGATCTAAATCTTCCAAGAAGAAGCTTACTTGTTCAATTTACATGCAATGCATGTGGAGAAAGGACCAAGCGGTTGATAAATAGGGTTGCCTATGAAAGAGGAACAATATTTCTTCAGGTAAGTTATTTTGTCTGTTTACTTATTTGCAGCTTCATTCAGTCCAAATTTTATTTATACACTGCTCACATGCTTGCTTTTGTTAAATATGAGAAAAGACCACATGGATATGCCCGTTTGTGTCCAGGCATGCACTGTAAATTTGTGTTCTGATGTTACATTGCATATGCAGTGTGCAGGGTGCCAGGTGTACCACAAATTTGTTGATAATCTTGGTCTAGTTGTTGAGTATGATCTACGAGAAGAAAATGGGATGAACACCGATACTGAAACTTGATCTGTTATGAGAAAGCATTTTGGTAGGCAATTTGTCTTCTAAAAGTCATGGTTTTTGCAACAGTGATGGTTTGCACATTGTAGCATGTTTAGATTGAATAATACTTTACTTTGAAACTGCTACATATGAAACCTTACTATGTATTTTGTGATAATAGAAATAGTATCACAAGCTCATTTCCCTAGAGTACATTATTATTCCAAAAATGATCTTTTACTAGTAGTCAAAACGATACATCTGACAGAATTTGATGCACTAATTATATGCTATGCACACTGTTTAAGCATCATTATTTGCTTGCATCTTGGGGATCTTGATTCTCTGGGACATCATTTTTCTTCATCATCCCTTTCTCTGTTTCTTCTGCCTTCACCACCTGCTCCACATTTTCAGCTTTGCCTTCCTTGCCAACATCTTTCTTTCTCTTGAGGAACTGAATAAGGCCTTCAAGGGCAACATCAGTGTCATCATTCCTCATGAGCACCTCAGCTACCTCTGCTGGTGTCACCATGACCTCCTTGATCAACTCTTCTATCTCTGGGTATGTGGCATGGTTATCAATGGAGTGGTAGTTAGAGGCCAGAATTCTAAATGACTCTGGGCAGCAGTAACCCATATGGACATGCATGTCCATCCTGCCAGGACGCAGAAGCGCAGGGTCGAGCCTCTCCTTGTAGTTTGTCGTGAAGACAATTATTCTCTCCTCCCCACTTGTTGACCAAAGCCCATCCACGAAGTTGAGTAGCCCAGATAGTGTTACCTGTTCCAACATATTACCCAAATACACAACATAGTTGGTAAAAAGACCCCAAAAAAAATAAATGTAAGAGAGGCTAATGATTCCAAGTTATAACCTTGTCCTCTGAAGGATTGGATTTGGAACTCTCTTGACCTTCCTCCCGTTGTTGTAGCTCTAGAGTGCAGTCGATATCTTCTATAACTAGGATTGACCTGTTGGTCATCCCGATGAGCAACCGTCGAAGGGTTGAGTTCCAGTTGACCTCAGTCAGCTCGAGATCATATACGTCGAACTTGAGGTAATTGGCCATGGCTGCAATCAAGCTGGACTTGCCAGTTCCAGGTGGGCCATACAGAAGGTACCCCCGTTTCCATGCTTTGCCAATCTTCTTGTAGTATTCCTTTCGCTTGATGAACCTCTCAAGATCATCCATAACTGACTGCTTCTGCTTGTGATCCATGGCGAGCGTGGTGAAGGTCGAGGGGTGGTGGAGGTCGATGGCGAACCACGACTCACCTTCGTTCATGTAGATCTTCAGCGTCCTGTCCTGATCCTTGATCTTCTTTGCAGTGGCCAGGATGTGAGGGAGGTAAGAGTTGAGGGCCTTGTCCTTGTGCTTCTTGTGGAAGCTCATCTCGAAGGACCGGACCTCGAGCCGGTAGTTGCCGTTCCCGCCACGGCCGTTGCCGTTGCCGTTGCTGCTGCTGGAGTTGTCGCGGCAGACGAGGCGCCACCTGAACTCGGAGCCCTCATGGACGTCGGCCATCTCCTCGCCCTCCTCCATGCTGAACATCATGCTCTTGGTCTCGTCGACGCGGCTGACCCGGAGGCGCTGCATGTCGGTGTTGATCCTGGTGGCGAGGTACGTCCTGACGGCGTCGTAGAGCTGGTTGTTGGTCCAGCCCTCGGTCTCCTCGATGATGACCATGTGCTGGGACGACATGCGCGACCGCAGGTACCCGACGCCGGAGAAGAGCAGGTCCCGCACCTCGTACGGCACCAGCTCGTTCACGACGCCGCGCACCAGCATCGCCGACGCCGCCAGGGACGCCGCCGTGGTGACGGCCCTCTTGTACGACTCGATGGCCTTGTCGTAGGACGCCATGGCTGGCTGGCCGTCCGGCGAGCCTACTGCTGCTGTTGGCTCTGGTACGTCTCTGAAAACCTTCTTTCCTTCCAGACGAAGTGTTTGGTGGTGGTCTTAAGTGGCCGTATGCTGGTAATGGTCGGTGTTGAATGACTGGGCGTTTAGCTCATTAGCTGGGCTCCCGGTTTTATAGACGCCAGTTGGTTCTGTGTCAAAGTGGTTGATGTCCCTGATGATGACTGATTATTAGTAACATGAGGCTTAAAAAAAAATATGGGGCAGATTAGTGCGTTGTCCAAAAAGGAGGTCGTGGCCAGAGTAGGGAGAATGGCTTGGTGAGGATTTTCTAAAGGCCCGGGGGGGGGGGGGGGGGGGGGGCTTTGATTCCTGAGGTGGCGGTACAAAACAAACACCAGAAATGGTATTGAAAACTGCCTAGTTGGGTATTGAAAGCTCAAAAGAGAGCAGCTAAACTGAAGCCTCGCTGGACGCCCCACTTCGTGCGTGTTGTTTATCTTGTCGCTTTAGACCTATTTGATGTTGACCGGCATGTTTGTGCTTGGGATCCAAGTTAGTAAATTGTAGTATAGCCCTTGTTTAGTTCCAATTTTTTTCTTCAAACTTCTAATTTTTTTTATCACATCGAAACTTTCCTACACACATAAACTTTCAACTTTTCCGTCACATCGTTTTAATTTCAACCAAACTTCTAATTTTGGCGTGAACTAAACACACCCAAAATTAAACATAGTATGGATTACAGTAGCAAAGTACACTGCACTAAAACATGTAATACTACTATACCAAAGTACACGGATTTGCAGAATGCATATGTGATATGTCTGAAGCATTTGCACTGTTCAAATTTCCCTCCGTCCCAAAATAAGTACAGTTTTAGCACTGTTCATGTCTAACGTTTGACTGCTCGTTTTATTTGAAAAAAAAATATTATTAGTATTTTTATTATTATTACATAATAAAACATTAGTACTTTATGTGTTACTAATTTTTTTTAATTTTTTCATAAATTTTTCGAATAAAACGAACTGTCGGAACGCTAAACACGGATATTTATGGCTGTACTTATTTTGGGACGGATGTAGTACATTGTAGTATATGGCACATTCACATGCCCTGTTTGCCTCTTCTTTTGTTTCTCATAGGATCGGACAAAATTGATGCCAAAAATCTGCACTCGTGCACGATTCCTTCCGGCTATTTTTGGGATCTGCTATTCAAAGGGCTTGTTCACTTTGATGCTATTTTCAACCTTACCAAATTTTGGTAAAGTTGTCTAAAAAGTGGCTACATTTAATTTGCTGCCAAATTTTAATAACTATATAAGAAATTCTGCCAAAATTTTGTGGCATAGTTGCCAAATTTGGTAAGGTTTTTTTAGCATCAAAGTGAACAGGCCAAAGTATGCAAAGGTAGACCTACAGACTTCATTATTGTATATCCCAGTCATCATCACATTCAGTTGAGGGGGACACAGGAAAAAGGAGAAAACTTTTCTATTTGGCGCTTTTGCTTCGAGGCCAGGGCTTTTCCGATTTTAACGTCTCGAAAAGAAAATGCACTACGAGCATCCAATTTCGAAGAGAGCTGTGTGTCGGCAATCGCATCGCATGGGCTGCAGAATTTTCGCTGGAAATTTCTGCTCCAGTAGCCACCGGACGACTTCGTTTTGGTCTCTCTAGCTAGACTAGAGGGTTTAGCGTCTAGCGTTTCCGCGGTCTGCGTCGGGCCCGTTTTCCATACGTCTACGTGCGTACGGGGTGGTGCTGACGACGAACACGTTGACGTCGGATTAGGATTATCGTGAAGGAGAAGAAAGGGATTATCATGGTAGGGTTTATGACTTGTTTGGACTCATGCATGATCAAGCTTCTTTCGTAAGGAAATGGATTTTACATTGATTTTATAGGATTTTTGCATAAATCAGTACAAATCCAATGAAAGTGCGAAGGGAAAAAAACCAGCGTGCCAAAGCATGCCTGGAGTACAAGCCTTGTCAGTGAAATTTAGCATCTTGTGTGTCGCAAAAAGAAAAAAAAAACCAAACACCATGCTAAAGAAAATGTGAGGGTAAAATCAATTATTGACCGGATCATTACCTCTGGATTATTTACTTCATTGTAGGGGTGAATCAAATATTTTAAATAAATAAAGTGAACAAATAATACTCACCTTGTTTCATATTATAATTTAATTTAAGTTTATAGAAAAGTTACTAACATCGACAACACCAAATTAATTCACTATAATCTAATTTATTTGGTGTTGGTAATGTTATTATAATTTTCTAAAAATTTGGTTAAAATTGAAAAGGTTTGACTTAGAACACTTGTAGTATGAAACAGAGTGAGTAGCTTAGGCAACGTAGTCTATACAACGCAATAGAAGAATGCTTTTGTTTTTTTAGAAAAGAAAGTTTTAGAGACATTGAGTAAATAATCTGCAGCAATAATCCAGTAAAGTAGTAGCTGAAAAGAACATATGGCCTAAGCATTAGAAACTACCTTCCCTATGTAGTATTTTCATTTGTAGATTTAGAGCAAAATTCCCTTCGATCCTCTTCCCCTCTCTCTCTATCTCCTTTTGCCTTCTTGGTTCGTGTATGGAGCTAACTTTTTTTTTGGTGTGAGATCTAGTATTCTCTTCTATTCTCAATAATTTAGGGGGTGTTTGGAAACTAGGGACTAAATTTAGTCCCTCTTACAAAAGTATAAGTCCCTATAGTAAGGACTTATATTTTTGTGAGAGGGACTAAAGTTTAGCCCCACTTTAGTTCCTCCAACCAAACACCAACTAACTCAATTGAGTATCTTGCATGGAGCATTGAGACTGCTCTCACAGCGTTAACTTTGAAACCATACGTACTAAAGTTTTCGTTGGTCATCATCGCCTCCACATTGAGATGGAAATGATTGTGTCATGAAGTACTTTCCGGACAAAATGTACTCATATAACCCGTCTACAGAGTACCGATTATAATACTGAGAGTCCAAGAAAGTTTTTGGTCAAATTTTAGAAGTCCAACCTTTTTTTTTAGAGATTGGAAAGGTGTCTCTAGCGGCGACTACTGATGACTTGACAAGTCATTAAGTTGGTGCAGTGTTGTGGAAGACGGTATACGGATATCGGACGGAGAGGGTACCGCTAAACGATTAATCGGAATGCGGACGATTAATCGGAATTTGGCGGAAATATAACGTTTTGAAAATATATGTACATAGTTGATAATAGTTTTCCCTTTTTGATAAACAAATGCATATAACTTAATATATTCCTTCTATATATCCTTAAATAGAATAACCATATATGATATTTAAATAAGTTCATAATGGATAGCTGTTACTGTATATCTCAATTCTGACGTAGTGATGGGTTTTTGTTCATAATGCATGAAATGAATTATCAAGAGAATGTAGTACATAGCATAAATGACCGTAATCAAGGTCCCAAATAACATATGTATCGGCTTCATCAAATACAAACTCCAATAACCTGATCATCGTCAAAATCAAGGAACTCATGTTCAAACTTTAGAGGAAGTCAGTTCCTTGTCATTTTATATCTTGCTGCCTTGTGAGAATTTCGGAAGAGCAAACTTCTAGTCAATAGTAGTAAAGGGCACAGCTAATGAGCTGGATTGTGGAATCGACCTTTGTCATCACGCCGATTATACGGCTAATTAGACGGAGACGGACGATTTAATCGGTAATGATCGGATTTATGCGTTCGTTACCGACTAATGATGACCGCATCGGCGTGACGTGACGGACTGATCTCCGTATCCGTATTATCGGACGTATTAACGGCCGTTAACACCGTTTTCCACAACACTGGGTTGGTGGGAGAGGAGGCGATAAATGAGCATAATTTCTGTTTGGTTGTGAAAAGGAGCATAAACATCCTAATGTACCAAACATTTAATAATTAATACTACACCATGTGTTTAAAACTATTATCTTCACATGCCACACTACTAGAAAAACAGTCTTCTTCTTATGTGGACGACCGGTCCCACATGTACGAAAAGGCATGTGAAAATGATTTTTTTTTTCGCAGGCGGATAGGAGCGCGACGCGCTGCCTGCGATGGCCACCTAGCCGCCTGAGAAAATGGGACAAGTCCGCCTAGGAAAATATGCGTGCTAAAATATAAATTTTCCCGCCAAATCTTTTAATATCAATTTTTAATCAATAATGTTGCAATTAATTAATTAATACATAAATACATTTAGCCACTAACAAACTAGGATATAATACATGTAATGCATTAGTTAAAAGGGTCGCCAATACATACAACTAATATTGTCATTTTGAAATGCAATAATATAATTTTCATTATGGCATCGTGTTGCTCCAATCCCGAAGAGACTTATATTCTTCACTCATCGCTAGGCTACCTTCGGGGTCGAAAAAAAGTCCATCCTTATGACAACACTTGCGGTGGATGAAGTGGCAGAGGTTCCGCTGTATATTTTTAATGCCTATGTCCTCAAAACTAGTTCAACGTTTGATTTTAGGCAACTGCATGCACAAAAGCACGAGAATATATTAGTATATCAATTAGACGTGCAGTTCACCATTGAACTTATATGTTGAGTTGAGGGACTTACATCCTCTGCGTTGGTCGTGTACTTCTCATTAACCCTAAGGAATTCACACGAGTAATATCCGCAAAGGACATTGTCTTTAGGTTGCTTGTGACATTTTATGACATACACATAGAAGGAATTAATTATAAAAAAATAAGAGTGTAGAGTATTACCGACCAGTATGTATGCACTAGCAACTTCTAGTTGTTCCCCGTCCTTTACTTATAGTAGTTGTATGCATCTTGCAGGTGGAATGATGGGGCTGATACAAATTTTTTTCTAAAGCAAATCCCCCACCAAATGTAGCAGCCCCTTGGCTAAAATTGTACTTTCTAATGGATTTATATTATGGAACCTGAGGTTTTAGACGCATAACTAGGAAGGACTTTCAAATACCACAGATCGTATTAACAAATTCTACTCTACATTTATGGTAGAATCTTTCATCAT